ACAGAGTGGTCCATCCATCAAATTGATGTCTCTCCAGTTTAGAGACAAGGATGCTGTGTGGGACAGTGTCAAACACTTTACACAAGTCCAGGTAGATGACATCAACTGCTCTACCCCTGTCCATCAGTTCTGTAGCCCCATCATAGAAGGCCACCAAATTGGTGAGGCAGGATTTCCCCTTAGTGAAGCCATGCTGGCTGTCACCCAGCACCTTGTTGATTTTCATGTGCCTTAGCATGCCTTCCAGGAGAATCTGCTCCAAGATTTTGCCAGGCACAGAGGTGAGACTGACTGGTCTGTAATTCCCTGGGTCATCCATTTTCCCCTTCTTGAAAATGGGTTATATTTCCTTTTTTCCAGTCATTGGGAACTTCACCTGACTGCCATGATTTCTGAAATATGATAGCCTGTGGCTTAGCAACTTCATTTGCCAGCTCCTTCAGGACCCGTGGATGGATTTCATCAGGACCCATGGACTTGTGCATGTTCAGATTTTTAAGATGGTCTCGAACCAGATCCTCTCCTACAGTGGGCCCAAGGTCTTCATTCTCACAGTCTCTGCATCTGCCTTCCAAGACTTGGGTGGTGCAGTCAGAGCCTTTGCCTGTGAAGACCGAGGCAAAGAAGTCATTCAGAACCTCAGCCTTCTCCAAATCCTGTGTAGCCAGTTCTCCCGAGAGCTTCCGGACGGGGCCTACGTTCTCCCTTGTCTGTTTTTTATTTGCTATGTGCCTGTAGAATCCCCTCCTGTTATCTTTCACATCCCTAGCTAAGTTTAATTCTAACTGGACCTTAGCTTTCCTAACCTGGTCCCTAGCTTCCCAGACAACATCCCTGTACTCTTCCCAGGCTGCCTGTCCTTGCTTCCACTTATTATAAGCCTCCTTTTTCATTTGAATTTTCCTCAGGAGCTCCTTATCCATCCAAGGAGGTCTCCTGGCCCTCCTGCTGCACTTCCTTCTGGTTGGGATGCAACACTGCTGAGCTTGTAGCAGGTGATCCTTGAATATCAACCAACAGTCTTGGGCCCCCCTGCCCTCTAGGGCTGTATCCCATGGAACCTTCCTAAGCAGGTTCCTGAAGAGACCAAAGTCTGCTCTTTCGAAGTCCAGGGCAGTGAGCTTGCTGCACGCTCTTCTCACTGTCCTGAGGATCTCAAACTCTAGCATCTCGTGATCGCTGCATCCAAGTCTGCCCTGGAGAGTCACATTTCCAACGAGCCCTTCCCTGTTGGTGAGCACAAGGTCAAGCATGGCACCTCTCCTTGTTGGCTCCTCTATTACTTGTAGAAGGAAGTTGTCTTCCACACAATCGAGGAACCTCCTGAATTGCTTGTGCCGGGCTGTACCGTCCTTCCAACAGATGTCAGGGTGGTTGAAGTCCCCCATGAGAACAAGAGCCTGCGAGCGTGAGGCTTTTCCTATCTCTCTATGGAGTGCTTCATCCGCAGGTTCTCCTTGATCAGGCGGTCTGTAACAGATCTCCACAGTAATGTCTCCCATAGCTATATTCCCTTTAACCCTGACCCACAAACTCTCTGTTAACTGCTCACCTGTCCCCAGACAGAGTTCCGTACTCTCCAGCCTATCCCTAACATAAAGGGCAACTCCCCCTCCCCACCTGCCAGGCCTGTCTTTTCTAAAGAGCCTGTAACCTTCCATTCCAACACTCCAGTCATAGGAGCCATCCCACCATGTTTCTGTGATGCCTCCATAGATGTGTATCATACCTCCGTAGATGTGCACACATCTCTAATTCCTCTTGTTTGTTCCCCATGCTACGGGCATTTGTACAGAGGCATCTGAGCTGAGCTCCAAATGAAGCTGGCTCATTGGCTGGAGCGGCTGGAATATCTCTGCATTGCTCCGAGCATTTATTATAGGTGCTGGCAACTGACTGGGTGTGTTGGGATAGAATGATGCCCCCCTCCTCCAACACATCTAGTTTAAAGCCTTCTTGACCAGTCTGGCAATCCTCCTACCAAAACCGCTCTTCCCCTTTAGACCAGCTCCACCAGCCCCCACTAGACCTGGCCTACAAACTTGGGTCCCGTGTTCAAGACACCCAAACCCCTGACTATGGCACCACCCTTTTAACCATTTATTAACCTGGCTAATCCTCCTAGCTTTTTTTAGGTCCTGCCCTGTGTCCTGGAGAATTGATGAAAAGACTATCTGAGCTCCAGAGCCCCTAACCACGTCCCCCAGGGCTCTGTAGTCCTTCTTTATGTTCCCCAGGCTACTACTATCTATATCCCTAACACCCACATGTATCACCAGAAGTGGGTAATAGTCCGTGCGACTTACTAGAGCAGGCAGCCTCTCTGCCACATCCCTGATCCATGCCCCGGTAGGCAACACACCTCCTTTGGGACTGGGTCAGGCCGACAGACAAGTGCTTCTGTCCCTTTCAGTGTAGAGTCCCCTACTACTACGACCTGCCGCTTTTTCCTGGCAGCACCAGTAGAGATCTTTAGCAGCGCATCAGCCGGCTGTTTCTGGCTCGAGTGCGTTTCCTCATTAGCCCCCTGCAGGGCAGCAAAGCGGTTCCGCGTGGGGACAGGGGATTTAGGGGGAAGCCCCTTGCTTTTGGTTGTCCTTTTCCTCCTTTTTTTTTGTTGTTTTTTTTTTTTTTTGTCACTAATTCCCAGCTTCCCAAGTTAACGGCCTCCTTCATGAAGTAGAGGTGAAGCTCGAGGCCCCTGCACAGTTTGGGCCTGGAGCAAGCATTCCTGCTTCCCCTCAGCTTCCCTGACATCTCGCAGCCGATTGACAGCATCCCGCAGCTCAGCCCCTGCTGCAGGAGCACCTCCACCAGGGCGCACCGGGTGCAGCCCTGCCCATTGTGCACCCTCCCCTCCCCAGACCAGTGCAGGCACTCTCTACACCCCGAGCTCTGCACTGCAGCCTCCCCTCTCACCGGCTGTCTCTGGGTGCCTACGCTGGCCACCGCCGGGGCAGCCAGAGCAGAGCTCCCGGACCGGGCCCTGCTCATACGCCGAGTGCTCCCCACCCCATTCGCCTGCCCGCGCAAACTGCCTCGACCCGCTCTGTTCGCCGCGCTCCCTGGGGCAGGTTTTTACCCAGTCAGGTTGGTGCCGCTGCTCCTGGCTCCGCCCGCTGTGAGTCCCTGCTCGCGTCAGCTGAGCTGCCGGCTCCCGGGCAGGTCCTGTCGAGGACTTGAGGCTCCCTCGGTGGCTCTTGTCGCTCTGAGTTGAGGCTCCTGGACGCTGATCTCCCCCCCGCTCCGGTGTTGGATGCGTCCTCTCTCGAGCTGTTCACCTCAGCAATTCAATGTCACATTCCTTTACAGAAGTGTTTTGTGGTTACATGCTGCTGGCTACAAAACTTGATTTTCAGGAGCCAGTTGCATTGTGTAATTACAAGGGAACATAAAACGGAACTTAAAAACATTAGCTGGACTGGAAAGGAATATTGTACAGTGTATTGATCTGTTCATACTCTTAATTTTACAGGGATTGCTTGGCAGTGGATTAACTGTAATGGAATAAGATTAGGAGAGAAAAAGTGTGGTGATCACCCAAAGAAGCTTTCTGCTATGCAATGTGTAAAGCTCTTGCAGTGATAGATGTGAAAGTCAGAGATGCAATACCTCAAGAAAAATCTTGGACTAGGCTGGATGAACAATTCTTTTACATTTGTAAGAATTTTTTCTCTCATTATCTTTGCCTGATTTATGAATATTAGTCCTATGAAGTACTGCAGGCATATCTCAGACTTACTGCAGCCTCTGGAAAAGAAAATTGCAAGGCAGCATGGGCAGAGCTGGAAGTGCAAAAGAGAAGACTGGCAGCTATGGAAGCTTGCAATTTGACTCCCATCATCAAACAGAAGTGATTTTTCCCCCTTACCCCATTCAGATGAGGTATTCAGCTTCATTGTTGCACATGAAAAACTCAGTGAAACTTGTTCAAAGTATTCCTTGAATAGCGAGTGATTCTGTGGGGAATTCATGACTGTAAATATCTTTTTCAAAGATAATTTTCAGTGCTTTTTTGATTTCAACGGCCTTACTTACGGGTTAAAACAGATGAAGTTAAAAGAGAGATTATGTGAGGAAATTGAATTATTGTTAAGACAGTAATGATTTTTTTATTTTTCTGTTATGAATAATCTAGTGTTACATTTCTTGTGACTGAGACATCATCTTTACTTTGCAATGCACATGTATGTTATGGTTTTCTGGCTGAAGGTGTCAGTAACACGACGTGACATTTATCACTGATCTTCAGTTGGAGATTCCTGGATGTCAGAGGTTTATATAAGACTCACGTTAAATATGGAAGGCTATCATTAAAGTGTATAAACAAATTTTATTTTACCTCATCCTAAGTGCACATGTAAGAATCAGTCTTTCTGTTGTCCATTATAAACTGATCTTTGAAAAATGGATAATATTTAAAATTGTCACTACAAAGAAGTGTAAAAGTTGTTTCTGTGCCTTCCCTGAGAAATTCCTTATGTTAAATTTTAAAACCTTTTCGATCACTTTGAAGTCTGAATTTCATTGATTTTGTCTCAGTTGTGCAGTGAGATACTGTTCCTGTGAGCATTTTTCCCCCTTAAGGTTTTGATACATGTCCTCAATTTTAATACCTTTTCAGACATGGTTTGTTCAGAAAAGCTGAAAGTCCTATTCCTGTGTTAATAGATTACAGTACTTGTTCATGCCATAATTACACAATTTGTAAAATGGGTGTAATGCTATCAAGCTCTTTTCAGAAGGCTCTGTGAAAAGTTTTGTAATACTGCTTTCTATGTATGGAAGGGGTTAGTTAACTTGTGTAACCTTTTATTACTTTGTTTTTGAATTTGTAGATAAATCTATTCTTCTGGTTTCAGTGTAAACTTGCCCTGTAAATGGCTGGGCTAGAGTTTAACTCTTTGTTGTAAAAAGTAGTGCTGATGTTGTTATCCCCAAGGTTTGTAGTATTCCTATCCAAGGCTTTGGTTTGGACACATCTTCAGTCTCTAGGATTACTAAATAACAATAAAAAATATTTTTTTCTTTTTGTTCTTGGGTAGTTTCCAGAAAAGCAGTGAAACCTTTTGTTTAAAATTGTTTAGTTTGAATTTTTTTCAGCAGTTTACAGATTTGGGTGTAGCGTAGATGTTTTTCTAATCTAAACCCTGGACATTCTGTTGAAGAGCAAAATCACGTGATTAGATTAGACTTCTCACTACTCTGCCAGTGTTCGGAGACTAGCAGCTCACTGGAAGGAGGCATTTCCCAGGGAGAAAGCGACTGATTCATACTTGCTCACCATGGAAGCATTCCAGCATCAGCTATTCACTCTTATTGGAGGTCTGATCTGTTTCTATGTTCTGGTAAAATGCATCAGATTTATGAAATACATTTTCCCACATACATGGAGTGCTGTGCCTCAGACTTTCTTTCGGTCGATGGGAGAATGGGCAGGTAAAGGAAATTTCTTCACCTTCTTTTTCTTGTAACTAAGTAGTGGATTGTTAAATTACTAATCAGGAGCAGTTTTCCTTGCATTTCCTTTCCCTATCCCTTAAGGTCAAACCACAGTTTCCACTAGGTGTGGTTTTCTTAATTTCTTTTTCTTTTCTCCTAGTAACTTTAGGTTTATGAGACACCAGGTTTTGCATACTTGGTGAGAATAGAAAAATAGTCAAACTGGCAACAGCTCACACACCTGGTGAGAATTCTTTTTCCATTCCGACTGTTTTTTTTTCTCTACTGCAAATGCTTTCGTTTTAATAGCATTGCCTATATTCTCAGTTTCCTGATATGTGAAGCAACTAGTTTATGTCTAGCATATGGACTCCAATTTTTCAAAGCAACTTTTCTTTGTTCCTGGGGAGGTTGCTCCCATGTTTTGGTTTTATTTTTCCAGACGGCTGAGCTATCCTTACTGGTACCGTTAACAACCAATTCCAATTTAGCCTAAAAACTTCAAAGGCTGCAACTTGGCAGTACTTTTTAAAAGATATTATGCATTCTCATAAAACAACAGAAATATTTAATATACACCTTTTTCTTCCTACTGTTCATTGATGTTTTTCTAAAGCTTGTTAGATCATCAGTATGAAGCAAAAATGAACAGGTATAACTGTTTCTGAGTTCCTGGGCTACACATGTCATTGATGGTGACATCTTGTTAAAAAGTGACCCAAACAGCATGTTTGCACTTCATTCTTTTCCCCCGCATTAAACAGGATTGAATACCTCCTTAATAAGCATATCTCACAGTGGATTAGTCAGAAATGAAATCCACCCCTGTGCAAAAGACCTGCCTGAATAATAGCTGCTTCTGAAGCAATATGTAGGTCTTGTTTTGATTTAAATAAGGAAAGGACCTCTCTTATGTGTGAGGAGGGGAGCAGCACGTGGGACTTCCTGTGTAAAATCTTTGTTTCCACTGAAGGTTGGGAGACTTGTTTCTTTTCATGGACCTTTTATGCTCTCTGTTTTTTGTAAACATAAAGTCATCTGGGCCCAGTAAAATTCATAAGGCTTGGATGATTTACTGGCACATGTGATCCTGGGAATTATGAAAGTTAAAGTTTATTTCCCAATGGACAATTGCATTTCATCTGTGATTCTGCTAGAAAGCTAAAGATCCACTGTTGCTTCACTGAGGGCTCTCTCTTCTCTGTGAAATGAGAGAGTAGTTGCTTTCCTATTGGCAACAAACCTAATGATTCAAAATCACTTTTTCCTCAGTGTCTCTTGCTATTTAAAAGACCTTATCCACATTTTTTTATATCAGACAATTTTCCTTTTTGCTTTGAAACCTTCCAAGGTTTACCTTGGAATTTCTTTGGTGCTTTCCTACTTTATTTCTTTATTTCTAAGTTGATAAGGATTTTCTTTCCTCTTTGGCATTCGTTTGTGTAATATTTAAAGTTTAGTTTGCGTTACAAATGCCAAAGCTTGTTTACTTTCCTAGTAATGCTAAAGCCAGAAGTAAACCTGAGTAGGACAGCTCTGAAGGAAGAGCATTTTATAGATGGTGGCAAGTTTGCTGTGATGTTTCCTTACAGACAGATTTTTTTTGTGACAGAAATTCTTGCATCAGCTTTAGTCACCAAGAAGTCCATATCTCCTACCATTCTGCCACCAGCATATAAATGAAAAGCTTGCAAAGCAGAACTTGTAAAAATATGTGTATGGAAAAAAATTCTACCCCTTCTTCGGCAACTGACTTGTTGCTGAAGCAATGGCTGCAATTGACTTGTTGCTTGGTTTCGATCCGCTGAAAATAATAGTAATAACTATCTACTGCGTTGGATACATTACTGTGGGGAGGGATTTGCTTTGCAGACAGAAAACACTAAATGAAGCAACAAAATGATGACAAGGTCACAAGGAACTCTTTTTTTTAAGAGAAGATTGATTCTGTTCTTCAGTATAGCATTTAGGACGCAAACTCACTCAGATGATACAGAAGAACAAGTTAAAGCAGAGCTTCAAATGTAATCTTTATTCTTCTTTTTACTTTCTTCAGTGGTCACAGGAGCAGGAGAAGGGCTTGGAAGAGCATATTCCTTTGAGGTAAGATAGATTACTCACCCTTAAGTTTACTTTAACAAAATGGCAAATGCTACCCCTTCATCGGTTTCTGCAAGTTAGTGTAATCACTCTAGGATTCAAAGGCACTGCGACAAACACGGTGCTGATCCTTCTCCCCTGTATGCAGAATGGCATTTATCAACTTTCAAAAGGAAACAGGTGCAGCATTTCAGAGGAAAGTAATTCATTTCACAACAGTCTCATCAGACCAAGGAAATCATAAAGATTTCACATTGCCTTCCAGGGTAGGAAGTCTCCTAAATTGTCCTTTTTTCCCCCAGTTTTGCAGCTAATATGTTTTCTGACTTCCAGTGGGGTGGTTCATCTTTAGCATACAAAATGTAGTTTTCTAGCCTTCACACTTGAAAACATATTTTGAATGATATATGTGAAACAAAATATAACGAAGAAATCTCTATAAATTTATATAAACTGCAGGTTTCAGAAATTATAAGGAAACCTAATGGTTTAATTATGGATTGATAGCTCTTGGAGCTGCAGGAGGAAGGAGGAGCTCTGTGCTGGTCCTGTGGCTGCTGCTGTGCAGAGTCACTACAGCAGTCCCTTTCTGTTCAACTGTGCTCACCAGCACTGAAGGCAGGGTGATCTTGTACTGTCCTGCACCAGCCTTGGTATTAGTGATAGTGACTGGCTCCTTTTCTAGAAGCTAAACTTGAAGAGAAGGACTTGGGGGTGCTGATTGATGAGAAACTTAACATGAGCTGGCTTCAGTGTGCACTTGCAGCCCAGAAAGCCAACTGTATCCTGGGCTGCATCAAAAGCAGCGTGACCAGCAGGTCAAAGGAGGTGATCCTGCCCCTCTACTCAGCTCTTGTGAGACCTCACCTGGAGTATTGTGCGCAGCTGTGGGGCCCTCAATACAAGAGTGACATGGACTTGCTTGAGTAAGTCCAGAGGAGGCCACAAAGATGATCAGAGGGCTGGAGCACCTCTCCTATGAAGACAGACTGAGAGAGCCAGAATTGTTCTGTCTGGAGAAGGCTCTTGGGAGTCTTAAAAAAGTCTTCCAATATCTACAGGGGGCCAACAAGAAAGCTGGAGAGAGACTTTTTACAAGGGCATGTTGTGGCAAGAGATGGAGCATGGCTTTGAACTGAAAGACAGGCAATTTAGATTGGATCTTAGGAAGAAGTTCTTTCTTGTGAGGGTAGTGAGACACTGGCACAGGTTGCCCAGGGAAGCTTTGGCTGCCCCATCCCTGGCAGTGTTCAAGGCCAGGTTGTATGGGGCTTTGAGCTACCTCGTCTAGTGGAAGGTGTCCTTGCCCATGGCAGGGGGATTGGAACTGGATGAGCTTTAAGGTCCCTTCCAATCCAAATCATCTTATGATTCTCTAACAATAATCAAGAGTTTAGCTGTGATGCAATCTGCTCATAAATTATAAAATAGACCTCACAGGAAAGTAAGTTGGCTTTTGAATTGATTTACAGGATTAAGCTAGACTTGCAAAGTATGTGCATTGTTTCAGCACCTGCTTTATGATTTTCATTACTGGGAATGGCAATACAATAACTCCTTTTGAAAGTGCATTGAATGTAGGAAGCACAAATACCAGGTATTATTGTTGAACATTTGGCATAGTTGTGATAAAGATCACAGGCTTTCCCATGGGAGAGAAAGGATAATATTGTCACCTTGTCTACTCACTGAGTTGCTGTAGTGATGGACAAATGGAAAGAGTCTGATGAATACATAGGTCTTGGGGAATGGGATGGGATCAAGACAGGGGAAGAAATAGTCAGAAATGCTTGAATATTTACTTAGCACCAAGTGTAGCCATTTGTATGTGCAGCTTGCTGAACTCATTTTGTGTGTGAGCACCTGGCGATATTTTATCCATGTGAAGGCTGCAGGAACCTGTGAATGTCTAGATCAAAGCCTCTGTGTTAAACCACAATATTGTTCTGCTTCTTTTGTGCTGTATGGGTTATGCAAGAGTAAATCTTATTTTAAATGCCAGCTGTAGCATGAAAATGGCTGCTTTTTACCATGAGAAAAGACAAAACAACTACTGTGTAAAAAACCCAAACAAACAAACAAAAAAAAAATTGAAAGAAAAAACACAAAGCACCAAAAACCTGAAAAAAATCACAAAAAGTCTTGGCTGGAACTGACTGGATTTTGTGGGACATTTCTTCATTATTTTTGGCTTTTGTGGGATGACTGAGAGCCATCTTTATCCATGCTGAGATGTACCTTCCTCTCCAGGTGGTCCCTTTGATAAAACTGTGCTCAGCTACTGCTCTGTGGGGCAGATCCCAAACCCACACCACGTGAGCTCATAGCTTGGCATGTCATCTTGCTGGCTGAGGTCAAAGCACACTTTTTGTGTGGCCTGTGGATAAATAAATCTGACCCTGCTGTTTTAGTATCTGTGTGCCTTTGGAGTTCCTGGCTCAGCACTGCTGTCTTGCTGGTCTGATGTCAGGATATGAAATTCTCTGATGTTCTTCTGGCATAGGTTCCTCTGGTGGTATGGGCTGATGTGAAGTCAAGCCTTATTTGATGACCACAGTGACTGTTCTAGTGTCTGAGCTCTGACGCAAAGTGATGAATTTCTTTCTGACATCCTGAGCTCAGGCGTGGGCTGATAGCAGTACACAAAAACGTAAGGGCTCTGTGCTTGGTGGTAGAATATGGTACAGGAGGCTAAGAAGAGCAGCTCTTGTGTTTTAGAAGGCTAGCATGATGTGGCTTTCTCTGCCCTTTCATGTGGAAATGAAAGTAGGCGGTTCATTAGGTAGGAGCCAACAGATTGAGGCACACTCAGAGATTGTAATATTTACTGGTTCAGTACCCTAATTTTCAAGGTTTATGACTAGATAAAGGTCTCTGCAAAGTCTATTAAGCTCAAGAGCTGGCTTCCATGGAGGCTGTCTGTATTTCTAGAATATCAGGGTGCTTCTGAACGACTGACCTTTTTGAGCTTAACGACCGTGACCATTTAACTGACTGCTCTGATGTCAGAGCACTGGGGTTTTGGGTCTAGTTTGCTATGCTCATTTCAAAAGCTAGGTGTCTGTTAGATTCGGTCTGTTAGTTCTTGAGCTGATAGAGTTTAGACTCACCAGACTTATGACAAGGAACAAAACCAAGGAACAAAACCTAGTGTGCTGCTAGACTGTCACATCTCTACTAAATTGTTAGCGATTCAGGTATCAGTGCAGTCTTGTTTCTTCTGTTTTTCTGATGTAATAACTAAAGATGGGCTTTAGGATCTGTTACTGACTTAGAACTTCAAACGTACTGGGTTTATGGATGAGACCATGCTGTACTCAGAGATTTATGGTTTAGGCCCTGCACACTTCTCATCTGACATCAGGGCACAAGGAGGGTGTTGGTGGCTTATATGGTCACCATTTTTGTTATTGTTAATGGTTCATAACTCTGTCATAACTCAGGCCAGTTCTTGCTTTTAATGAATGCATTAGCAGACCATCTTGAGACAGGCACTGCACTCATTTGTTAATACAACAGTTCCTCAAATCTTAAACCTTCATTTCATTTCCTGAAATTGAGCATAGTATTACCAGCAGTATAATACAAGATAAATATGATGTGAGCTCTTCCACTCCAGTTGGAAGCATATTCTAATTTCTCCACTTGCTCTTGGATTTACCCTGGAAATACTGCCCTTCTACTTGTGTGGCACAGGCGCATAGCTGGCAGAAAGATTGCAGAATTCTTCTGCCCTTTTGTTTCAGTTCTGGTTTGCTGGACCAAAAGAGGTTGAAATATTTGAATCATAGACATCCTAAAGGTGTGAACCTCAGGGAAGGAAAAAAAGGGGTGAAGCACTGAGGACATATCAGCTTACTCCTGGAGATGAATCTCTTTTGTAATAGGTAGAAATTTACAGTAGGTGGCTACAGATCCCATAAAGCATTTTTAAGAATTTTTAAAGTATTACATCTAATTATTCATGTAGAATATAACCAATTTATCAGAGTAACTGTAGCAGTTACATGCATCGGTTGAATCTAAAATCCGTGTCTTGCCTTTCATAAAGCTTTATTGATTAAAATTTTGCCTCAGACTGAGCTGCAAAATCATACTAGAAAATGCAGAGTGACTTTGTAATAATTTAATGTAGGCTTAAATTTTTTAACCATGAGTTTGCAAGACTCCAGTGTGCAGATCCTGCTTGATCTTTCTTCATTATTAGCCCCATTTCTAAATGCTAAGTTGTCATAATTTATTATGGCTGGCAACATTTTGGCAGAGGTGCAGGAGCATTTTAGTCCTTTGCCACTGGGAGTCAGGGTTTCCTAACACAAGCAGATTCACGTTACACAGTGGTGGAAGCTAGGGCTTGTTCTTAAGTGTGAGGGGCAATACCATCCTCTAACATCAAAGCCTTTCTATGTTCAGAATATGTTTTGTGCTAAAGACATCTACATTAAAAGTTACCTTTATTTGAAATGCAGCAGAGTTAAACCTGATTTAACTTTTCCAGTGGATGGCCAGGAATTTCTTTTCTAAACACAGTTCTTTGTGTGAGAGTGCGTTTGAATCTCATAATGTCCTACAAAACCTATTTCTGATAAAGGTGTGCATTTTGTATGTGGGCAAGGAAGCAAAAAGGAATAGTCAGGTGTAGCTTCTTTTGCCTCCAGAAATGGTTATTACAGCATTATACTTCTGCTTAGTCTGGAGTACAGCAGTTAACAATTTGCCACAAACATGAATTTTTAGCTGAAGTACAATGTAATCTTAGCAAAAGGAATATTTTTTTACTTAGGAGATATTATTCTACCAAGTGAAATACAGAGACCTAAGTGAGATGATACTGACAAGCCCAGTGAAGCAGAACTTTGTTTTTATTTTGTATATGACATTGGGTGGTATTTACTTTTGTGTCTGAAGGCACAGAAATTAAATTAAACCCAACTAACACTCCCAAGTGGCAATGACCGTGGAAACGGAGACCATGCCTCCAATTGGAAATGGCTTGAGTCAAGCTTGCTGTGGACAAAGGGAAATCTGCTGCCTCTATGTAGGCAATTAGAGTTCTCTTCCTGGGAACTTCAAATGGAGCCCTTAAGCTTTTGAAACTCCTGAGTGTCTCTAAGTCTGTGCAGGTCTCTTTGGAGCACCAGTCAATTATGTTAAAGGGTCTCCAAAAGCACAGAATTTTGAACTTGGTCTTTATGCTAAAAACACAAATGATTGTGGCTGATGCATTTAATGGGCAGTCTTCCCCTTGTACTCTCAATGTAGTGAATTTTTGAACAAAGGTCCTTATTCCTTAACATTCTCTGCACTGTTTCAGAAGAGCCAAATGGGACAAACTTTTTCACTTAAATAGCTTTAAGCAGAAATCATTGCAGGGCATCAGCTGTGGAAACGAATGGGTCTTCAGTGTGTGGCCTTCACCAGTAAGTTTCTTCTTCTAAGAAAACCTTGTGCTTTCAGATGGCATTGGCTTTATCTTAGTGCTGGCTAATCCAGTTCTTTCTCCTTGCTCTCATGGGCATGGGTTTTTTTTCAGCTTTATCTTTTCTTTCTTCATGCACACAACTCCATTTATCTTCCATTTTTCTGATAATCCGTTTTCAAAAGCTGGGACCACATTTGTCCTTCAGGTTTTACCTCAGACTTTTTAACTGATGGGAATGGGATGCTTTGGGAAAACAGGAGAAAAACATTCTCTATTTGTTCTGCATTTGTTCTGCACATGATAATACCAAGCTGACTATAAACAGAATGCTGTATTAAATAGTATTCATAGGTATAAACTTCAACTATTGCCAATATCTTTGTGGATGTACATTTGTGGCATTGTATTTTGAGGTTTTAAGCACAGATTTCATCTGTTTTCCTTGTTTCTTCTTCTTTTTTTTTTTTATTTATTTGTTTTGTGGTGGTTTTTTTGATTGGTTGGTTTTGGTCTTTTGGTGGTGTTTTTTGGGTGTTTTTTTTTTTTGTTGGCTTTTGTTTTGTTTGTTTGCATCTAAAGAAAGAAACAGTTAAAATCTATCATATTTGATTTCTGTTAAAAATATGAATAAGGTTCAATCCCTTTCAAACTCTCAAGCCTTCAATTCAATATATGTAATCTACTTCCTCAGAAGAAAAAGATAAGGATGGAAGGTGATGTTGTAAAATTACTATGATGTCATCAATATATTTGGGCTCTGAGATCCAAGTAGAAATAAAAATGTGTTTCTGGGAAATGTCATGTTTGTTTTAACTGCAGACATGCGTTCATTTGAAATTGGCTCAGTATTTTTATTTTTGTACATGTTATTGGGGTTTGACTGCATGTATGCCTTGTAAGGGTCCAAGATTACTCAATTAAGGAGATGTTTTGGAATACTGTTTACTGTTTGGCCTGGATTTAATATCTGTTGTTTACCCATTAGGCAGATGACAGGTAAATGAAAGCAAATTTAAAAACTCTGTGATTGCTTATATTGTAGGATTGGAAAAAATTGAAAGATTCTTATCACCTTACTGTTTCCTAACAACTCTCATATTCCTTTCTTGTAGCTGGCAAAACGTGGATTAAATGTAGTTATGATAAGCAGAACTCTTGAAAAACTACAGAGAGCAGCCATTGAAGTTGGTAAGTGTTTGTCTCATCTTCCTGTTTATCAGAGTGGATTTACAGGGAGCTGGGGGTCTCTTCCCTTTGTACAGTGTCTAGTTCAGTAGGCCCCCAGGCATTGCTCTAGCACTAAACATGATTCTGGTATTACCATGTTGCTTGAACGCTTCTGATCATGGATTGCTTTAAAAATGTGTTCTATCATTCAATCAGTGAGATGGGTTTGATAAAAAAAGTGAACGTGTATTCTTTACTGGTTTTATCTGCCTTTAAAATCTTCGGGGCAAAGGAGATGCAATACTAGAGTCATTGGAGGCATCTATGAAATGGTTTAAACTTGGAAAAGTAAGATTACATTTAGGCTAATTTTTGGACATAGCAAAGGAGGAATAAAATTGAAATTAAGGTTCCTGTCTGAATTTAGTTTGTTTGGCAGTTTTTTTAAGGTTTTCAAGTTATATTTGGTTTTTGATAAAGCAATTAAATAGTGTATATTTGGAATTAGTTTAGAATTAATGTTCCCTTTCTTTGGAAGAAATTAGCCATTTACAATGGGAAATGGATTGTTAAAACACATTAAAATTCATGGTTAGGTTTTATTTAGGAGTCAAATGAGTTTCTATCCTCCATTAACTTTAAAGATTGCTGAAATCAAGGTTGCTCTTTCCACTGTCTCTTTTTCTATACATGGCTTCTACCCACCAGATTCCCTCATTCACAGGTTCTTATGTGAAGCATGTGTCACTCCAAAACTACACCTCTGTCAGGAATTACCTTTAAGCAGGCTTAGCAGCTGACTCCAGCAGAGTATCAGGTCCAGTGACAGCAGGGCATCTTTCAGGGACATGGCAGACTGTAAGTGGGTGAAAAAGTCTCTAATATCTGAACCTGCTGCTACCAAAATCAAAGATTTGACCCTGAAAATTTCCATCCAATTTTCCTTCTTCTTTTTTTTTTTCCAGGGATAAACTTGTTTTGCTGAGAAGCAACAGGTGTCAGAGGAGGAAAGCACCAACTTGCTATAAGCAGTGATATCTATGAGGTCAATGTGACTATGGCCTACACTAGCCCCTCTTAAATAAACAGCCATAAAAAAAATAATTTCTGTGACAATTAGGTCAGCTCTGGTGCCATTGTTGCATTTCTTTGCAGCTATGATTGTTAAAGAATTACAATACTAAAAACCTGAAGAAATAAAAGCTAAAGAGTTTTTAGTTTCTTTGCATTGTAAATTAAAACCAGAAGCAAAGAATGGAAACAAAAAGATTCCTGACACTAACATAGCTAAGAGAAAACATGGTGAAGGGGTGGAAAGATGACATACTGTAAATTCCATTGGACTATAATTTATTGTAAGGCCATCCACTGGCCACTTTCTTAATTACTGTGCTGAATTGTGTAGCAGTGTGTGATGAAGTACTTGCCATGTCCTGAAAGGTACTCTGAGATAGCCAACCCTGCAAACACTCCTATGCCTGTGCAGAACTGACCCATGACTTCTTGCATGTCAGGAAGCTTTACTGACAGCAGCAGTGTTATCCATGTAATCGAAGGTGTGGGTAGGTGGATGGTTTGACCCCAGCAGCTCAGGCTACATTGATTAGGCTGCAGTATGTTCAGCTTGGTTGTGACCATAAAGATTTTTCCCCAGAGCTTGCTGAAATTGGTGGCAAACCCCAGTGAGACCTTTCCATTGCTTTTGGTGGGTTTTGGTAGAAGCCCAGAGTGACTCTTCTGTTATTTATTGTGTCAGGTTGGCAATGAGTGCATAACAAGTAGGTGGCACAAACAAAGGGAAAGAGAGGAAGATAGAGTGATGAAAAGCATAGATTATATGACCTGGATGCCATTAAAATCAACAGGGAGCTCTGGATGTGGTCTTATGGTAAAGCTTTGGAAATGTTCCACTAGTTCCGACTTTCAGATTCAGGCTTTACTGTAATTTAGCTGAGCAGTCATTGTGAAGGAAAAAAAAATTAAACTTCCTGTGATGTTATGTCAGTAAATAAACAACGGAAAACAAATATGCAACAGGAACTTATCCAGAATGATTATACAGTTTTCACAATTTTCTAACTCTGACTTTCTATACTGCTTTAACAAGCAGCATCTCACTCCAAGCAGCTATCACTACCCTGAACTAGATTAGGGCACAGAAAGTTTTTTGCAGGCTGTGTGAATTTGTTGCAAGACTGAACATGTTACTCTTGTTTCCTTTTTCTTAACAGCTATACCACGTATCTTTTTGCAGTCACTTGGACATCATAATTTAAGACTTGCCTCCCTCTTCAAACTGATAACATTATTTGCCTAATCATACTGTCACATTCCTCTGGAGTACTGAACAAGAGAAATTAAAAGAGCCTAAACTGTGGGTAATTTCAGAGATCTCAGCGTTTGGCTTTCCTGGTTCTACAGGCCAAAAGTGTGCCTGAGAACAGCTCTCAAAGCTGGAGTAGGCAGAAATCCTCAGCAAGAAAAACATTTCTCTAGAGAAGCACTGGAATTGAAAACCAAATTTCCACCCATTCAGTCTCGAAAGCTCTTTTAGAATGAGATAAAAGATAAGGAAGTAAGTCTTATGGAGGGCAGACGAGAGGACTATCACACCAGGTGTACTGCTCATTTAACCCATTTAGCACAGTGGTTGTGAAAACATTGATCAAACCATAGTACCAGGAGATTAGAAATTGTTTAGTGTGATGCATGCCTGTCCATAGCAGGGGGCTGGAACTAGATGATCCAAGCCAAACTGTTCTATGATTCTGTGATTTTAGGATGGAATGTATTAACTGCACACTTATTTTATTTCTTCTCTACAGGCAAAGGTAGGTCCTCATTGAGAAGCTATACCTTATGATCAATATACAACCAGGATTACTCTTTTTGTGCTAATGCCAAACAAAAATCCCCACTTCTGTAAAACGCAAAAATTATTCACAACAAGGGTGTCCAGGTTTTGGTGGTGTTAATGAATTTGAGTTTGATGATGCAGGAAGTATTTTATCTACTTCTTCCTCCTGAAATTATTCCTGTTAATATCGAGCAAAGTAGTGCATTAAAAAAAAATCACCTCACACAGTCTGGAATCAAATGTGCCTTGCTCCCACTATGACCTGCACAGGTGCTAATTCATTTAGCTGTCCCCTCTGTTATAGGTTGTTTCCAATCTGTTGTAGTCTGTGTCCTCTGCTTCTCTTGTCCTTCCTGCTTCAAGAGCTAAGCAAGTAACAAACTGAAATCACTGATTAGCATGAAACAACTCACTTGGCACATCTTTCCTTCATCCTCAAGGGTTGCCAAAACTCCTGTTGTGTCTTGCTGATCCCTTGAGGTAAAGTGCTAATGCTCAAGATTCTTTCCCAGTCTTCTGCATTACTCCATAAAAGAGCACTTGATCGATTTCCTGAGTGCTCTGGTACAGTAACAACTTTTTTGTTGTTCATTTGGGATTTGTTTGTTAGTTAGTTAGTTTTTTTGTTGTTGTTGTTTTGTTTTGTTTTCATTTGTTTTTGAGTTTTTTTGGGGGGTGGGTTTTTTTTTCTTTTTTTTTTGGTGGGGAGGGATGTGTTGGGTTTTTTTGTTGGATTGGTTTTGGTTGGTTAGTTTGTTTTGCTAATTTCATTTTGGTTTTCATTGAGTTTGTCTTCAGTGGTACTTTCTATCATCACTTGCAGTTCTGCTTTTACCCTCATTCTTTTTGTTTCTTCTCTGTTTTCCTGTTATTTCTGAAACCATGTTAGCTTATATTTCTGAGAAGATGCATTTGTCAAAAAAAAACTTTCAAAATGTAGCCAGAACTTGTGCTTTATAATTTAACATGAAAGTTTTTTTATTTCTGCCCAGTCTTAAATTTATTGTTTTGTAACTTCTTTCTCTTATTTAAGTAACTCTCATTTTGCTCTTCTCTCTGCAAATTTCCACTGAATAAGAATGTCCATCTTGTTCTAAGCACTTCTCACATCATGACCTGTGGCCAGCAGGTAGAGGGAGATGATCCTCCCCCTCTACTCTGTCCTGGTGAGGCCATATCTGGAGTACTGTATCCAGTTCTGGGCTCCTTAGTACAGGAAGGACATGGAACTACTCGAAAGGATCCAGCAGAAGGCTACAAAGATGTTTAGGGGTCTGGAACACCTCTCTTATGAGGAAAGGCTGAGGCAGTTGGGCCTGTTTAGCCTGGAGAAGAGAAGGCTCTGGGGTATCTGATCAGTGCATACAAATATCTTAAGGGTGGGTGTCAAAACGATGGTGCCTCTCTTTTTAGTGGTGGTCAGTGACAGGAGAAGGGGCAATGGGCAAAAACCGAAATGCAGGAAACTCCATCTGAACACATGGAGAAATTTCTTTACTTTGAGAGTGACAGCACTGGAACAGGCTGCCCAGGGCTGTTGTGGAGTCTCCTTCTCTGGAGACATTAAAAACCCACTTGGATGTAACCCCTTGCAACCTGCTTTAGCAGGAGGTTTGGACTAGGTGTTCTCCAGAGGTCCCTTCCAACCCCAGCCATTCTGTGATATTCAAGTTTTCTTACAGTACTTCAAAAGGGTCTCCTCTTTCTAGAAAGATCAGTTCTGTGTCACTCGGGCATTCATTTTGTAACCTCAGGTTTTCAGAAGATCTTCATAACTCTCTAAATAGAAAATGAGAGTTTCTGGCACACTGCATGTCCTAACCAACTTCATGCTTCACACTGATTTATTCTATTCCTGATCAATTTCAAAAGACAGCATATTATCCTATCTGACAAGCGGGATTCCCAAGTGGCCTGAGGTCAGAAGGCATTAGATGTATCCTTCTTAATGATATATTTTATAACAAATTGGATTAAACAACTCAGCTCAAGTTTTTCATTTGACTGAAATTAGTTTTCTGCTCATTTTTAACATAGTCAATAAACTGTCCTGATATTTGAAAACCTAGGCTTTCTGTTTCTGGCAAGCTTAAGACTTTTCAAAAGAGTGGAATGGCTTGTGTATTCATAAATCTTTGTCGCAGAGAATTATAGACATCAGAAACATTGGAAATTATTTTTTGGCTCTCTCCTTTGCAGAATTGTTACCATTTTCTGAAGGGCTATCCCTGGATAATTCATTTATCAGCATGATAGTTTTATTGTTTTTTCATATATTGTTTTATTGTTAAATGAGACAGAGGAAAGTCATCTGGAGTACTTGTTTGCTGGCTGACAGTGCTGGTTGCAGCAGTGCAGTCTGATACAGACAAGGGGACACAGAGAAAGTACAAACGTTTTGTTTGATCCTCATTTTTATGTTGCTCTAGTTTTGGCTGCCCTTCTGATTGCCCTCGAGCAATATGGCTACAACATCACTACAGCTTTTAAGACCATCTCATTTTGTTTATAGAGCTCTTCAACCACAAGGTCACCACAGGTGTCCACTCCAGCTGTTGCTGTCCTTTCCCACTCACTGCATTTATCTCACAATGTCCTTTTCCTTATAGTTGTACCATTCACCAGCCTGGGACCATGAGGGGGTCATTTACCACTAGAATAGCTTTTATATGTTGAAGCTTCAAAGGGTGTTTTGTCCCTTTCATTCACACAACACCAGCTTGGAAAGTGGGCAAGAAAAAGGGCAGTGAACATTTCAGATCTGGAGTCAGAGCACCTGCTGTTTCCTCAAAGTGCTTGCATTACCTGAGTAGCATAAGGTGGTCAAGACTTGTAGTATATTAAGGAGCAAGTAGGAAAAACTGGGAGGGAACAGCTTTCTCTCATCCTCCAGCAGAGGCTGTGTTTTGTTGCAAACTGGCCTGCTGGACCCAAAGCCAGCTTTTTGCTAACCTTGCTCTCCAGTGGGAGCTGGTGCAAGGCCTCTTCCTAAGTTCTCAATGTTCACCAAGGGGTAAAGCAAGATTACTGCATGGAAAACATCAAAACCGATTCCTATTCAAGGCAATGCTCTCTGTTGCCTGTATGATAAAATCAGCATCCAAACAAACAGAGACAGTTTCCCAAACAAGACCCATGCAACTGAGTTTCTGCCACTTGCACCGAGTCTGAAACCCAATCATCTATTGACCTTTCCAAGCTTTGCCTCTCACTTTTTCAGCAAACTTCATCTGGATTTCAGGTTGCCCATAAAACTTGAAAGCAGATTTAGTAGCAAGAATTTACAATGTGAACATCTAGTTATTGGGCCCCTTTAAAGGAAAACCTTGCCTTTAAAAATGAGTAAATAAGAGCCTCTACCTCTTTTCCTTATGAAACTTCATTGAAAGTATGAACAGCAATAAATAAACTGCTGAGAAAAATGGTAATGTACAGCTGGGCTCCACTCCTGCATTGCAAAGACACTGGACAAATCACACATATTTCCCCTTCTGTGTAAATTGACCTTGTAAAATTCAAGTCATACCCTCCCTAAAATGCCTTTTAGTCCTGCAAAATTCTGGGGAAAGTTCAGCCTAGGAGAGTGAAAATGTGAAAATAAGAGAGGAATTGTTTGGAAATAATGCAAAAAATACTGTTTCACATTCAGCCCTGTTTTGTCCTCCTCCTACATGAAAAAACAAGCTCTGCTTGTTAAAATGTTCATCTTATACATGGAAACACTTCTAAACTGTTCTGCAAAACAGTGCTTATGTAGAGGACCTGGCTCCCACATTCACTTGCCTAACATGTGCTGATAGTGTTCAGTTATAAATATTATGATGACCAGAGGAAGAAGTCCTGTGTTGTTTATTTCTGGGATTTTTTTTTCCTTACTGAAGGTCCAGATGGTGTTTCTATTTTGTGAGGGAACTTCCACAGATTTCAGGGCATAAATTCATCTTATATATGCCAGGCAATTTCCCTGAAAACAACTGAGTACAGTGGGAATGCTTTGCTTGTGTTGTGATATTTCTGAAAGTAAGAAAATTGAAACAATTGCGTACTATACAGCAGGCATTACTGAATGAGACCTCTGATTTTTTCTCATTACTTAATTTCAGCTCTCCCTCTCTCTGGGTAGATACAAAAGGATTTTCATTTTTTTTTTTTTTTTCTTTCCTTAATTACAGAGCAAACCACAGGTCAAAAGGTGAAGATTATACAAGCTGATTTCACTAAAAATTCAGTATATGAGAACATTGAAAAAAATCTGCAAGGCTTGGATATTGGTGTTCTGGGTGAGTCATCAAGATCTGCTAATTGAAGGGTATTTTATGGCTGCAGTGTATTAAACACAGAATTGTACAAATGATGTGTCATAAGAGCTTGTTAGCCAACATTTAAAACCAAGCATGCAGCTGCCTAATGCATTTGAGCATTACTTTTTGTGAACAAGTTTTAAAAGTGAGTTAGGATTCTCCAAAGGCTTCTTGTTTCTCTGTGCTGTGGCTTCTTCACTGTGAAACCTCTTCTGCTGCTTTACAAACAGCATTTAGTTTGTGGGGTGACTTCTTCCCTATTTGGCCTCAATAAATTCATTTTCACTCTTGGTTGTTTTGCAACTATGTACAATTCTTATATTCAATCTGAAACGAGCTTGTGGCTAACACTAATTGGTATAATACAGGCAGCAACAATGAAAACATGGTTTTAGGAGGGGCATTCTTTTTGGTTTGGTTTTCTTTCCTTGTGAAGAAAATAATCCTCTTAATAGTGAAACAAATGAAACAACAACAGCAAAACCCAAAACCAAACAAACCCCCAAACTATAGCAACAGACTGGTTTTTCATTCCCTGAATCAGGAGTGATTACTATTGATGACTTCATGAGAACAAGAGTCGATGTTAAACAGCATTTCTATTCGCATACAACTCAAAAGCTTCTGGGCCTTGAGGAGAAGCCATTTGTTTAACTAGCTGAACTATGCGTTTTGTCTAGATTTGGTTCTTATCATTATATTTCCTTTGATTAGTTAACAATGTTGGAATGCTTCATAATCCTCTTCCATGCCGTTTCCTTAATGGATCAGACATAGATGAGGTAGGATTACTCTGTGGGTTTCTACTTTCAATATAACAATGAGGAATTGTAATTCCATTTAACAAGGGACAGATTTTGCCCCTGCTAAAATCAGTGCGTATTTAACTGTTCAGTTGAGTGGGAAAAGAACCCATCCTGAAGGAGTATAGTTTGATTCGGTTTTCATGCTTGGAAGAACTTACAAGAGACACACAATGGTAGATTTCAGCTAAACTGTAGCAAGCGCCCAGTGATAGGGGAAGACTGTGCAGCTGGACAGGTTGTAGGAGGGGTCAGCAGCCCCTCTGGCTCAGGGCTGACTTGTAATATAATGGGGTCAAGCCTGTCACTTCAGCCACAGCTGAAGTATTGGGTTATTGTTAGTATTATGAAAGCTTACTTTCTTTGGAGCACCATCATCTAAGTATGTGAAAAAAAAAAAAAAAAAAAAAGAAACCTCTTTAAAATACAGTTTACTTTTGGAATGAATTAATTAATTTACACATGTAGAATAGTTTGACAGTATTTAGGATGTGATCACATTTTTCATTGACTTATTGTTATTTACCTCTATAGTATTAGCCATGAAAAAAAAGAACAACACAGAATTTCTAAACATATTTCTCGCTAGTGCCTGTTTTGGGATCCAGTCAATCTATATATTATAAACTATTACACATAGGAGGTCCACAAGCTGGCTGCTTCACTCTGACCTGCAGTCACATGATGGCATGTCTGGTATGACCTGTGTTTGGTGCGGGTCTTGGGAGGGCATCTCTACATGGCAGTGCTGTTGCAGCGCAGTGTACCTCTGTCATTGAGAGCCACCCACTGTCTGCCCGGCACATCCATGATTTGTTGCCCGTGTGCATCCATTTTGGTTTGCTACTGCCAGCACTGTCCAGACGTGCAAAATGGAAGGCATGGAATCAAGTGGATGCAAAGCAGATTTGCATGCCATGTTTAAAATAAAATAAATCAGGATTTACCTGCCTTTGACTGTCCCACAGCACAGGGGCAGCCAGTGACAATCTGAGGCAAGCTAAGCAGCTCTAAAAGCAACTGCCTTGCTAAAAGGCTTTTCAGTTGGAATTGTCAGCTGTCTTACCTGGATGAATTGCAAACTCCCTGTGAGTTAGCTATGAACTTAACTGTTTCTTTGCTTCATGCAGAGCCTTGTCAACTGCAACATTATTTCTGTTACAAAGGTATGTGACACACTCGCATCTATGTTACATCTGCAATGCAGTTTATTGGGAAAAGAGTCCCACACAGAGTGTCCAACCAGCTTTCCTTTGCATTTTCATTTAATTTTTCAGCAGACAGCAATTTTCAGTAGGAATGTCAGCACTATTGTAAGGGCCTTATCTGCTCCTAGGGCCTGTGAAATATTTTCATTTAGCTGACTGGAAACATTTTAACACAGTTCTTGGTTGAAACATATTGTTACACTGCAGCTGAAACATGTTGCAAACCATGTTTGTTTCGGTAAACAGATTTGTTTCAGAATCAAAATCTTCAAGGCAAGAAGATCTGCAGTTCGGCTTTTTCTGTACCGTACTCTTGCCTTTTTTCCTTTGATCGCCATTCTGTTCTGAAAAACCAGAATATTTATTTTTATAATAATATTTTAATGTTATTTTACAGAATATTTAGTATCAGTGAAGCACAAAAACTGAAGGAGCTGACTCCCAGTTCTGTACTTTACCTCTTGGTGCTAATTTTGGTTGGCTGCTTTCCTACAAGAACTGTTAGTAGTTAGTATTCCATGCTTTCCAAGAGTGATTAAGATTGGTATTGCTCTGCTGTTTGCAAGCAGTATGTTAACATGAACAAGAGTAGGACAAGAGCTTTGCAGTTCATCTCAACCTTGGTTAATATCTTTCTAAACATGGCATGAAAATTATCAACAGATTTTGTCTTTCTTTGGTTAGCAAACTTTATATCACAAATTTGTACTGCTGCTTGATGACTTCAGATAGTAAATCACATAATATTAGTCAACTGAAACAAATTCTTCTATAAGGTAGTTTGGTGAACTTTCTGCTCCCAGGTTTTATCCTATTTACGTGTCAAAAAAATAGCAAAATCTGCAGTACTTGATTGCTATATATATATACACACCTCACAAAAACAGGCGAACATTTTGTACCCTCTCAGTCCAGATAAAAAAAGTGTTTCCATTTATCATTTCCAGATTTACACATACCTCAGAATCCACATCTTCTGCTTCACCAGGACCTGGGGATTCCTTTCCCCCACTGCTGCAATGCATCTTTTTCAGTCTTCCATGAACATTCACCTTCCTCCAAAACACAAAGAAGAAGTCATGCTGCTAATCAGCATTCCTCATAGTTAGGTCCAAATCACCTTCTATTTGTTCCCCCCTGCCCTCCTCCCTGGCTTAATTCCTGCCAGAATCCTGCTCACCATGCATTAGGATGCCCAACTCCAGGTGTTCCTGGCTTCCACAGATGTGGGTGATAAATGCAGCACTGCAAAAGGAGGACCTTTGCAGGTTTTCCACTTGGAAATCCCTCTTTACCCAAGCTGATGTGGCCCATTGCCACCCTTTCTGAAAATAAACTTGTGAACCACACCCTGCTCCTGCTACCACGATGTGTACAATGGCACTATCAAAAAAAATAGGGAATTAGTAAGTACTGAATTAATGTGCAACATTCATTTGCACTACTTTTCATTACTAAAATCCTAAAGCTATTTTTGGTGGCATAAAAAAAAATACTTGTCTTTTCACAGATTTCTGCTTTTTCTAATCCAGGTAGAGCCAGCAGCAAAAATGAAAAACCACTATGAATTTGACTTTCTCCTTACAGTTATAATTCAGTAGTGAAGAATGACAAAATTCAGAAACTGTTGAAAAGCTTTGGAGAAGCAAAAGACTTTCACTGCTTAGAAGACTAAACGTTGGGGGGGTTGGGTTTGGTTTTAGGTTTGTTTTTTGTGTGTTTGTTTGTTTGGTTTGTTTTTCTTTGACAATTCAGATGATTTTCAGGTTATTAACATTTTTAAAATGTCTTCCAAAACTTTGAACTGTTCAAGCAATTGATATCTTGTGAATAAAGCAAGATTAGTTAAAAAATGAAATCAGAAAAGGGGAGAATGGATATAGTTGTTAACATACTTATCTTACAGATGACAAAAATGATTTTGAAACAAATGGAGTCAAGGTAAAACTGTTTTTTTCCTAGACCTTACAATAGCTTTTAGCTGTTACCTCCAGTTTATTCAGTTGTAGCTGTGCTTTTTCACTATTAACTTCTGCACTTTTACAGTATGTCAATCAGTAAGAGTTCTTCTGCTGCTAGTGCTGTGTGAATGAATGATAGGAATTGCCACAAACAGTCAGTTGTAGAACAAGACAAAAAATACAAAATATAGGTCTGTGTGCAGTAAAAACATGAAGGCGTTGCAGAAATAAAATGGAGTGGGATGGGTCCAGTTAAGCCATTTCTTAAATGGCATTTGAATAGAATGTCTTCTTCTTCTAAGAGTGGTAGCTGTGCTTGGAATAATGCTTTTCAAGCTCTGAAAATACCTGTACTACATAAGAGAGATTAATTCAGCTATGCAATTAAGGATCCCTTTTTTGTTTTTAATACATTGTGTAATTTAGACATGGGGGTCCTTAAAGGAGATGTTAAGATCTTCAGATGGAGCTTTTAGAAAATATCATTAACTACTGCATTTTAGAGGCTAGTGCATGTTCTTTGTTTGGCAACAAAACAAGCTCTTAGTGTTTAATTGTTTTGGTTTGTTTTTTTTTCCTGGTTGTTGCTGAATGAATTGTTTTTAGTGATTTGTACAGGGAATTGTGAATAGGAAAGCTAAAACAACAGATGCCAGGAGCAGGAGAAAGAATGTGCTGGCTAAGGAGCAAAGGGGACCAACCAATTACTTAGAAGCATAAAATCTTTCCACTGATGGCATTTTTTTTTCTCTGTTAGATGTACAATAGCGTGTACAATGTTCCCATGGTTCTGATTGCACTAGGCATTTAAATTTCACTTATGACATTGTTCCTAGCTGGTTTAGATTTAATTGCACCTAACAAAACCATAAAAATTGGGTCTTTGAAAGTGTAGTCTACAGTATAATAGGAGATCTTTGCCTTCTCAGAAAAAAGAGGCTGTTTTCCACTTGTGCAGGCTTATACTACAATACTGTCAAACGTAAACTGAATGTAACTGTTTAAATTGAATTTCAGACGGAAAGGTCTTATTCTGAATCTGTCCTCCGGTTTGGGTACTTTCCCTTGTCCACTATACACAATGTACTCAGCTTCTAAGGTAAGTCTGTCTCATTGCTTCATAAAGAAACCCCCACCAAGTGTTACCAACACATTTCTATCAATCAGCAACACAGGGACAAGTTTTCAGGGTTTAAACCTATGTTGCTCTGCTGAAATAACGAAGTAATGTAAAATAGCACTAGTTGAGAGCTAAGAATCAGGGAAGCTATGTAAATGAAATCCAGTTGAAGGTATATCTGATCACTAGAACAGAATTATGCCTTTGCTTAAATACTATTATGCCAGTGCTTGCAATCTGCCCTCGTTCCAGGAAATGATGACTTTTACCCTGCTGTCTCAGCTAGTTTACTCAAAAGTGTAGATGCATAAAAATGCTAGGTTTTGCTTATGGAACCAAGAAAATTCTTGGTATGTGGGTGGTGAGTTGCCTGACTTCATAGATTTCACTTTAAAATTTTGCTCTGAATTTAAGCCTCACAGCTTTTTATAAAAAATGAGGAGTAAATGATTTTCACTGAAGAAGCAACTTGCTTAGCTCAGGTTTGCTTCAAATGGAAGATTCCAACAATATTTGCTTGAACATAAAGTTCAGCTTGGTAAGAATAAGCTAATTATTCTTGGTAAGAAAGTCTAATATTATTTTTTCTGTTTTTAATGTAAGGTTCTTATTACTCCAAATTTGAACTACATTAAAACCAGACAATTTTACTTCCTTATGGTTTCAAAGTGATATGGTACATTGTTTGTATTATTTTTACTTTTTTCATTCTTGAGTATCTTTAATTTTTTCTTTTTTTTTTTTTTCCCTAGTGCCCTGAAAAGGAACTATTTTATTTGTCAGTGTACTGATGCTTCATGCACTATCACAACATTATTGGTGTTTAAATTGTAAGACCCATCGAATGATGACTTTGAAACACTGACATTTTTCCTCTTTAGTAGGACTTTTATATTTCTAATTGCAGAGGAGTGATCCAAGATTGCCAATTTTCTTAATATTTCCCAAACATCTGACTCCTGAAATCTGTCTTGAGAGATACTTAATTTCTACACAAATAAGTTAGTATATGTGTACTCTTCATGGTGTTCTCTTCAAAAGGTAAATCTTAACAGCTGAAGCTAAAGAACCCCCAAATTCTCAAGTACCTGACTTTGAAGATCCTATCTGTAGGCTGTGCTAATATTTTTACACTGAAAGCATGAGTTATATTTCACTCCCCTTTTTTATTGCAAGACAGCAGTGTAAGCATTGAACTGAGAGTGCAGGTGTCAGTCAGAGATGAGAGCCACATGAAACAATAACGAGAATAATGGCATTCAGATATTTAAATGTGACAAAGTTTTCAGCCCAGTCAGTACTTGATTGATGTCTGGCTTGGGTCAATGCCAGGGTCCATCTTTTCTGGTGCAGATAAGAGTCAATTTTGCCATTGATCATGTGCCCCAGCAGAAACTGTGTCTCGAAAAGTTTGTTTCTGTGGTTTTCATCACTGTTCTGTGCCTTAGGTTGTGTGATGCTTGGACTTTTTTGTTAAGAACCTGTTCTCATATATTTGTGAGTATCTGTGAGAGTACTTCATTTCCCAAGCTGATATTATTTTGTTGTTTTTGTTTGTTTGTTTGTTTCTGTTTTGTTTTGTTTTAGGCTTTTATAAGCACTTTCTCCAAAGCACTACAAGCAGAATATAAGGCAAAGGGAATTATTATACAGGTATTATTATTATTATATCTTGCCTTATTTCCTTAATTTTAGGAAATCAAGGAAACAAAGAATATTTCTTCAGTAATATCTGAGATGCCTAAATCTGTATAACGTTTCCATCCCCGGTGAAGTGCCGGGCCACCCTCTGAAAACTGTCTCCTCCCTGTAGGCAGCTTCTCCCCTTATTCCACCATGGTATCATTCCACATAGTGCCTTAATCCATTGCAAATATGTGTCATAATTTGTCAGATGCTATGGTATTCCTCAGAGTGAATGGCCCTGTGTAAGGGTTAGATGACATTACGCTGTTGTTATGACTTCTTATTTTAGGTAGTAACTCCTTATGGTGTTTCTACTCCAATGACAAGGTACCAAAAACCTGATCTTATTACAAAGACAGCAGAAGAGTTCGTGAGCGAATCACTGCAATATGTCACCTTTGGAGATGAAGTTTTCGGATGTTTAGCTCATGAAGTGCTGGTAATTGAATTTGATAGTGTGTAAATGGCTCCCAAAGGCTGAATCAGAATTGTCTAAGCTCAGCAAGTTCTCCTGACTGATTCCAGGGGCCTTAAGGTTGGACATAAATAAGAAACGGTGAACAGGTTGTTGAGGCTAATATGACACCAGTAAACCCTGAAGGGAGGAATACACAAGTAAAGCATAGTTAGCAGTACAGTGTGGCTTTCTCCACTTTTGTGTGTAGAGCTCAGCTCAGTTTGATATTTGGTTAGTCTTTATGCTTTTACGAGCTGCCTGTTTACATAAGAAATAGTTCTGAGACCCCTACTTTTTTACAGAAATTGGCCAGCATATTAAAAAGTAATTAATGGGGAAGGGGAAAAACACAAAACCAGACTGTGCTATCACACGAACATAATTTCCTTAGGATACTAAGCTAACAAAACCAGGATAAATATTTATATGTGTCAGCTGTTAATGATGAGCATTAAATAAAAGTATAGGGAAGAAAATATATTTACTGAAAACTCAGAGGAATGAACATTACCTTCTAAGAGAAACATACACACTGAAAGTATAAAGTCAAAGCCTTTGCTTTTCTCTTGCCTTCCTGAACACTCTGCTGATTTCTTTCATGAGATTTTGATAACCTTTTGCCTTTGTATTGTTTTTGCTTGATTATTCGGAAGGCACGTGTCCTGCAGTTTGTCCCTTTATGGGTATTCCACAGCAACAGATTTCAAGAAACAGTCTTGCACTCATTTACTAATTATCTGAAGAAGATGTGGAGGAACCCAAACCCTTAACAGTCATTTTTCTGGAGGATGTGCGCTGCAAAACCCCAGCACAACGTGTTTTGCTGTGTCTCTGCATGTGAATGTAGAAGGAATCGATCAGCTTGAACCGTAACTCCATCCAAATCACCTGTTAACTGATAAGTGATTACTTGGTCCAATGACTCTATTAAGCAAATTAATTCCTGTCCTTCTTCAAAGACTTTAAAATTTGCTAAAGCTGTTCCAGTTACTTCTATCAGCCTTACATAGGTATTAAGAAATTTATGCTACTATTTTCACACAAGCATGGAGGCCGCAAATATTTACGATTGTTTGATGCTCATGAATAAAACAATAATTTGCTCTACTTGTAAACCTGTTCACAGTGTATTTGATGCTTTTGGTGTGTGTTTTGTGTCTTTGGTTTGTTCCGAAAAGTGAAGGAAATTTACAAGAATTAAAAAAGGAAGCTTTCAGGATGTTAAGTACACACTGGACCTTTGGAAGTCTGCAGCTACAAAAAATGTGTGTCTGTTCATTGTCTGTGAATGACTTCATCCTCTGCAATATCTGATACGAGCTGGAGGAGTCAGGAGCATGGGCAAAAGATATGACACAATTCTACATTCCTAGATGAATGCAGAAAGCATATCTTTTGACTCTAGGTACCTATGAAGATTATACTTGATGCTACTTGAAAGGCGTTTCAAGGACAACACTATCAGGCACAATCAGCATGGGTTCACAAAGGGAAAGTCATGTTTAACTAGTCCTTCTGTGATAAGGTCACTCATTTAGTGGGTGAGGGGAAGGTGGTGGATGTAGTTTTTCTTGATTTTAGTAAGGCTTTTGATACTGTCCCTTGCAGTCTGTTCTTGGACAAGCTGTGCAACTGCGGGATAAGCAAGTACACAATATGCTGGGTGAAGAACAGGCTAAAGGGCAGAGCTCAAAGCATTGTAGTGAATGGGGCTACATCTGGCTGGTGACCAATCACCAGTGGAGTTCCCCAGGGCTTAGTTCTAGGGCCAGTTCTGTTCAACAGGTTTATTAGTGATCTGGATGTAGTAGTTGAATGCAGCATTAGGAAGCCTGTTGACAGCATCAAACTGGGAGGTGCTGTTGACTCTCGAGAGACAAGAGACCTTGCAGAGTGATCTAGGTAGATTGGAGCACTGGGCAGTGATTCATGGGATTAAATTCAACAATTTCAAATGCTGGATTCTGCACCTGAAGTAGAAGTAACACTGGGTGCAAGTATAAATCGGGAGTGGAGTGTCTGGAGAGCAGCCCTGCAGAAAGAGACCTGGCGGTGCTAACTGACAGCAGGCTTGGTGGGAGCCAGCAGTGTGCCTTGGCAGCCAGGAGGCCAAACCGCGTCCTGGGGTGCATTGGACACAGCATCACCAGCCGCTCAAAGGAGGTGATTAACTGCTGCACTCAGTGTTGGTGCAGCCTCACCTTGAGCACTCTGTGCAGTGGTGGTCCCCACAGTTTAAGAACGATGTGAAGGTCCCTGACTGCATCCAGAGGGGAGCAGCAAAGCTGGTGACAGAGCTGGAACTGTGTTCTGTGAGGAACGGCTGAGGGCTCTGAGCTTGTCTAGGCTGGAGAGAAGGAGGCTGAGGGGCAACCTCATGGCTCTCTGCAGCTTCCTGAGGCGGCGACATGGAGAGGGAGCTGCTGATCTCTTCTGCCTGGGATCCAGTGACAAGATAAGTGAGAATGGCTCAAAGCTGCACTTTACTGAGAGGGTGGTCAAACACTGAAACAGGCTTCTTAGAGAGGTGTTTAATGCCCCAGACCTGTCAGTGCTCAAAAATAGGCATTTGTACAATCGCCTTCATAATTCGCATTAATTTTTGGTCAGTGTTGGAGTGGTCAGGCAGTTGGACTAGGTAATCATTGTAGGTACGTTTTAACTGCTCTGTTCTGCTCCATTCTATTCCATTCTGTTCCATCCCAAAATCACAAAATGTATCCTACTGGCTTCAGAAATTCCTTTCTGCTGCATTCAAGCTAGTGACATATATAGGCAACACTATATAGGCTTACAGTATAGCACTACAGTGTCCCACCTATCTGCACATGCCTCCTACACTTGTTGCTGTAATTTTCAAAAAGAACAATTAAGGATTGTGCTGAGTTGTCTGAACTGAAACAATGAAAACTGTGATATGTAAAATGATATGCATCTTTCCTGCACTAAAGCCAGATTTGATCCAGGTTTACAAATGCTCATGAAAAATCACCTTATTCACATAGGTTCCCAGGTCCTGCCATTGAATTCAATGAAGCTGCTGATGCACTTACCTAAATTCTTTCATGTAAGCATTGGAAATGGAGAAATAGCTCACTAGAGATCAGTGTCGTTAAACCCCAGTATTAAAAAAGGCTTGTCTCACACCTAAAATGCTGAAATTTTAATATACTGTAACTATTCTATATTTGTGGATTTCTTGTTTGGATTTTTATTATTTCTTTAAACTTTTGAAATTCACAACTTCAATGCTTTTTTTTGTGCCTTCCCCCCCCCCCCCCCCCCCCCAAAAAAAATCCCTAAACTCACACTGATTTTTTATCTATTTAAAGGATAAGCTCCAATTCATACATAATGGCAAGATTTTAGAACTTGGTGTTTTAAAGACAACACAAGCAAACATGGATCTTTATAAAAGTATGTCAGTGTCAACATTAGAATTCCTTTCTCTCTTGAGAGGGGATTTTAAATTACTCTTTGACTGTGCTGAAAATGAAATCCTGTCTATGAATAAAGATAGTACTTGAGACATACTTGTGAAGGACACTAGAAAAACTTGACGTGTGGGAGCACTGCAGTGTTGCGGCAGCAGTGTTTGTCTGGGAGGTCCTTCTTGTGTGGAAACTTTCTTCAGAATTCCTGAGATGAAATAGCTGTGATTACATCTGCAGCAGATAAAGTTTAATAAATATCACCCCAGCCCCCAAAAGAAATTTTGCCTACTAGTTTTAACGGTCTGCAAGCAGAAGTTTTAACTTCCACTTGGTGCATGTGGAAGTGTCTGCTTCAGAATAGGTTTGCTGGTTTTTAAGGAAAGAATGAGGGAGGCATTTAGTTTTGGTGTTCACAACCATAATTAAAAATAAAAGCAGTGAATAAAGTTTGTGGGCTTTTTTTATCAATTCTGTGGTTCAGAATCCAAAGTATCACCAATTCTTAGAGTATAAAATCAGTTCAGTCTTTTCTAAATGTTTTCTAATTAATCTCTTGTCATCAAATGACAACATTCTGTTCTTCAGAACAGGAAAACTTTTCTTTCAATGATTGTAGAAATTTTTTAAGAGCTACTCTTGTAATGTCTGGCCATCACATCTCATTGCCTTTTAAATTAAATGGCTTGTGTATTTCTCTATGGCTTCTTGTACTTCATGCCTTCATATAAAATAACTCTGAACCTCCCCCCTACTGCTGAGTATTACCACCCAATGTAGAAAACATCTGGAAGTGAAAATGCAGTATCTGTCCTGGACATTTCAGCATTGCTTGTTTGAAAAACAAGGAATAGCAATGGTTTGTCCATCACTTCATAAAGACTGTTTTCAGGTGATAAAGCTACAGTCTTCTAAGTGTGATATTTGTGCAGTTCTGCAGCAAATAAGTATGGAATATAATATATGATACATATTACATGGGGGCCAAAAGCTGACGTTCCTGTGGGAAATACACATTATACAGGAAGCCTGAATGCAGAAGCCAAAATTTGTGTTTTCTGCTGGTATAAGTGCTCATTTCTCGATGGATGCATATTTTCAAGCATTATGTTCACAGATACAGCATGAAATGCAGAACATGTCTCTTTCCCCTATTTCTCTACTCCAAACACATACTGAGACCTTGCCCACTGGCAGCTCTTTTCATGTTTGATTTACATGTGTGGTTAGTCCCAATAGGGTGAAGCAACTCTACAGAGCAGTGACTGCTGCTGCTCTGCTCAAGTCAGTGGGGGATTCACTGGCAGCAGCAGCAAACCTAGGGACTCCCCTGCCTGCAACTTCTTGTGATACCACATAATATAGCTACAAATTCCCTAGTTTTCTCTTAATTTTCGCATGAGTTACCTAAGTCAGGTTAAAGAACACCCTTTTACTCTCTCTACAATGACAAAAGATCTGTGTGTCTGCCACCGGCTTATGTGATATATATGGACCCTAGTAAAACAGAAATAGCATTGGCACAGGAGGACATTCACAAGCAGTGGAAACTTGGTTTCCAAGGTTTACAAGTCCTGTAATCTATGACAATTCCATATTTCTTGTCTCACATTTGTTTATGGTTGTGCATGCTGCGTGGCTCTTGCAGGATGTTACTGAAGTCGAGCAGTTGGCTTTGTGTAGATTTGTTTCCCTTGGGGAACAGGAGGATCTTGTTACTCACTGCTCTTGCATGGTCACTCTATTAAAGCAGCCATTTTTTGACTTTTCAGCTCATTCCTTACACAATATTAGGCTGATTTGCAATCTTCAGGGTGTTCTTTCCAATGGTGTGTTAATGTAAGGCTACAAAGAGAAGTTTCTCTTCCCCTGGCCATTTGGAGAAGTCAGTGAGTGGATCAGCCATCAGGGCATAAGCTTGGAGGAGAATCAGTTGTGCCATCCCCTTCATTTTGTAGACCACGTGTCTCCTCTGAGCACCAAATACACAACTCCAAATTTGTATCACCTTCTTGCTCTGACACTTAGACCTGGGTCTGAAAGTATAGCGTAGCACACAAAGCAAAATATTATGAGGATCTCATTTTCTTTCTTTCATACATTCATGCTGATTACATTCCCCTGCTTTTGTCCCTCTGCAAAGGCATGTGCATGGTCACCCAGGTGTGATGCTAAAATGTTAGCAGCTTGGGTTCTCTTGAAGGTGGGGTTCAATAAGGGCCCCTGTTTGTGGAAAATCAGGTATTTTTGAACTTCACGTCCTTTTCAGTATCACACTGCAAGCATCCAAGCATCCACTAAGATGTTTGAATTGTGTAGGCCAGTACAGAGCTATAGGTTATGTTTTTTCAGTATTTTTATTTTGACTATTGTTTTTTTGGGGGGGTGGTGTTTTTTTTTCTCTTTTTTTTTTATTTTTTTTTTTCTCTAGATCACTGTTTCTTGAGTAGAAAGGATCCAACTTAAAACAATTTACAGTTGTGGGGTGCAAAGAACAAATCTTTAACTCACACAGATTTCAGTTATTGAACTAGTCCTATGTTGAGACAAAGAAGACAATCACTCTAGGAAAAAATATAGTCAGTCTTCAAGACTGCTAGACTAAAGAAAATGGGAAC